ACCTCAAGGTTGGGGGTTTTGCCCTCAGCGTTGGTGTTTTTCCCCTCAGGGTTGGGATTTTCCCCTCAGGGTTGGGATTTGCCCCTCAGGGTTGGGATTTTCCCCCTCAGGATTAGAATTTCTCCCCTCAGGATTGGGATTTTTCCCCTCAGGATTGGGATTTTTCTCCTCAGGGTTGGGATTTTTCTCTCAGTTTTGAGGTTTTTCCCTCAGGATTAGAATTTTTCCCTCAGGATTGGGATTTTTGCCCTCAGGATTGGGATTTTTCCCTCCATTTTGGGGTTTCTCCCTCAGAATTAGAATTTTTCCCTCAGGATTGGGATTTTCCCCCTCAGGATTAGAATTTTTCCCCTCAGCGTTGGGATTTTTCCCCTCAGGGTTGGCATTTTTCTCTCAGTTTTGGGATTTTTCCCTCAATTTTGAGGTTTTTCCCTCAGGATTAGAATTTTTCCCTCAGGATTGGGATTTTCTCCCTCAGGATTGGGATTTTCTCCCTCAGGATTGAGATTTTTCCCTCCATTCTGGGATTTCTCCCTCAGAATTAGAATTTTTCCCTCAGGATTGGGATTTTCTCCCTCAGGATTGGGATTTTCCCCCTCAGGATTAGAATTTCTCCCCTCAGGATTGGGATTTTTCCCCTCAGGATTGGGATTTTCCCCCTCAGGATTAGAATTTTTCCCCTCAGGGTTGGGATTTTTCTCTCAGTTTTGGGATTTTTGTCTCAAAGTTAGAATTTACCCCTCAGGATTGGGATTTTTCCCCTCAGGGTTGGGATTTTTCTCTCAGGGTTGGGATTTTTCCCTCAATTTTGAGGTTTTTCCCTCAGGATTAGAATTTTTCCCTCAGGATTGGGATTTTCCCCCTCAGGATTAGAATTTCTCCCCTCAGGATTGGGATTTTTCCCCTCAGGGTTGGGATTTTTCCCCTCAGGGTTGGGATTTTTCTCCTCAGGGTTGGGATTTTTCTCTCAATTTTGAGGTTTTTCCCTCAGGATTAGAATTTTTCCCTCAGGATTGGGATTTTCTCCCTCAGGATTGGGATTTTTCCCTCCATTCTGGGATTTCTCCCTCAGAATGAGAATTTTTCCTTCAGGATTGGGATTTTCCCCCTCAGGATTGGGATTTTTCTCCTCAGGGTTGGGATTTTTCTCTCAATTTTGAGGTTTTTCCCTCAGGATTGGGATTTTTCTCTCAATTTGGGATTTTTCCCCTCAGGATTGGGATTTTTCCCCTCAGGATTGGTATTTTTCTCTCAATTTTGAGGTTTTTCCCTCAGGATTAGAATTTTTCCCTCAGGATTGGGATTTTCCCCCTCAGGATTAGAATTTTTCCCCTCAGGGTTGGGATTTTTCTCTCAGTTTTGGGATTTTTCTCTCAAAGTTAGAATTTTCCCCTCAGGATTGGGATTTTTCCCTCAGGATTGGGATTTTTCTCCTCAGGGTTGGGATTTTTCTCCTCAGGGTTGGGATTTTTCTCTCAATTTTGAGGTTTTTCCCTCAGGATTAGAATTTTTCCCTCAGGATTGGGATTTTCCCCCTCAGGATTAGAATTTCTCCCCTCAGGATTGGGATTTTTCCCCTCAGGATTGGGATTTTTCTCCTCAGGGTTGGGATTTTTCTCTCAATTTTGAGGTTTTTCCCTCAGGATTAGAATTTTTCCCTCAGGATTGGGATTTTTCCCTCCATTCTGGGGTTTCTCCCTCAGGATTAGAATTTTTCCCTCAGGATTGGGATTCTTCCCCTCAGGATTGGGATTTTCCCTCAGGATTGGGATTTTCCCCATCAGGATTAGAATTTCTCCCCTCGGGGTTTGGATTTTTCCCTCCATTTTGAGATTTTTTTTCCCTCAGGATTAGAATTTTCTCCTCAGGATTAGAATTTTCCCCTCAGAATTCAGATTTTTTCCTTTAGGATAGGGATTTTCTCTCAGGGTTGGGATTTTCCTCTCAGGGTTGGGATTTTTCCCCTCGGGGTTGGGATTTTTCTCTTAATTTTGGGTTTTTTCCCTTCGAATTAGAATTTTTCCCCTCAGGGTTGGGTTTTTTCCTCTCAGCATTGGGATTTTTCTCTCAATTTGGGATTTTTCCCACAGAATTAAATATTTTTTGTCAGGATTGGGATTTTCTCCTTCAGGATTAGAATTTTTCCCCTCAGCATTGGAATTTTCCCCATCAGCATTAGAATTTTTCTCTCAGGATCGGGATTTTCTCCCTCAAGATTGGGATTTTTCCTTCAGAATTAGAATTTTTCTGTCAGGATTGGGGTTTTCCCCCTCAGGATTAGAATTTCTCTCCTCAGGGTTGGGATTTCTCCCCTCAGCGTTGGGATTTTTCTCTCCATTTTGGGGTTTTTCTCCTCAGAATTAGATTTTTTCCCCCTCAGGATTTGGATTTTCCCCTCAGAATTGGGATTTTTCCCCTCAGAATTGGGATTTTCCCTCAACTTTGGAACTTTTCCCCTCAGAATTGGAATTTTCCCCTCAGGGTTTGAATTTTTCCCTCAGAATTAGAATTTTTTCCCCTTCAAAATTGTGATTTTTCCCTTCAAGGATTGGTATCCCACTTCTTCCATATTTTTTTATCCTCAATTTGTGCCAAAGGAAATCTCCAAATCCTGAAGTTTTTCCCTCAGCTCTAAAAATCCTAGGGAATAAACTCTCTTTAAAAAATGATTCCTGAAATTCCTCCTGGTGAGGGAAAATCCCTCAGGGATTTGTGGGAATGCTGAGGTTCAAATCCACCTTTTTAGCTTTTCCCTAGATCTGAGAATAAAAATTCAGGAATTTTTGTGCTGCTTTATCACTTCAGGGTTTGATTCCTGGGATTTTCCTGGAAATGGCTGAGTTTAAAAGCCCTGAAATGCCAAAAATAAGGAAAATTCATGGAGAAATCTGGGATAAATCCTGGATTTTAGGGATAGGGTGTGAGGTTTATAGGGAAATAACCGGATTTTAGGGGTAGGGAATGGGATTTGTAAGGAATGGTTGGATTTTAGGGATAAGGAATGGTTGGATTTTAGGGAATGGGGATTTTGTTAGGAATTATTGGATTTTAGGGATAGGAAATGGTTGGAATTAAGGGATAGGGAATGGTTGGAATTAAGGGATAGGGATAAGGAATGGTTGGATTTTAGGGAATGGGGATTTTATTAGGAATGGTTGGATTTTAGGGAATGGGGATTTTGTTAGGAATTATTGGATTTTAGGGATAGGAAATTGTTGGAATTAAGGGATAGGGATAAGGAATGGTTGGATTTTAGGGATAGGGATAAGGAATGGTTGGATTTTAGGGATAGGGAATAGTTGGATTTTAGGGATAAGGAATGGTTGGATTTTAGGGATAAGGAATGGTTGGATTTTAGGGATAGAGATAAGGAATGGTTAGATTTTAGGGAATGGGG